CCACATTGTAGTATGCTGTGTGTGTGCATGTGATGTATAGAACTGCATAGAGCATAGATGTAGTAGAGTGTAGATAAAGCATAGGCAGGGAGCTCAAGGCTCATAACCTGTTAAGAAAGGGGAAAGAGGTTATGTGAGAGGTTTAGAGGGATCACACAAAGAGGGGGGATAGTGGACTCGGCTCGCTCTCTTGCAGCTTGCTTCATTGTCTGTTGATTAGTTAGTCTATATATATTATGTAGGTATGTCTCAGATGTAGAATGTATGATGGAAGGTATTCCATCATCGTTCGTCATTGCTTGTAATGTAGTTTATATCATCTGAGACATACTCTTGTGTAGTCTTGTCTTAACACATTCAGATACTTGTAAGAACTATATCAATGTGTTAAAAGCAATATAGACATGTCAGATTACTATCAACTGTATCATAAAGTAAAATAGTGCTTTCCTTTTGCATCTAAATATAATATTGGTTTTGTTTTACAGCTTCACTACTATTACAAACATTGATTACATAATCAACGCTGAAGATTGAGAGCATATAATGACACACTTACAGCTGTCACTCTTTCTCTCCAACCTCCACCATTTCTCTAAGTCTAACCCTCTGCCCTGACACTATGTTGTCGCTTTTGTTCTCTCCAGCCCAGTCCTCTGCTTGCAAGCATCCTCCAGCAGGTACTCTGAGTGCAACAACACAGACAATAAACATTGCTACAACTCGTCTCTCCAATCTACTGTTGCAGTGCCTGTACAGAGCCTCAGATCCCATGTTGTGCTACTGAGCTGACCACACTGTCCTTCAACGTAAAGCGGTAAGCAGCCAGTCCACTTCATAATAGCCTGTACAATAGTTGCTCCTCCCTCTCCTCCCAACTTTTTGTCTCCCTTCCATCCCTTCTGCTCCTCGTCCCACTGCTTGCGTTGCCTCCCCTTCATTGTCCTCCTTTTTTTACGTTCGTCTCCCTTTTTGAATTCACATTCGTGCATCCGCATTGTTGACCAGTGCCGAACGACTTCTCCAATAACTCCACGCATTCGCGTACTTCTTCCCGCTCCGCAGCGCAAGCAACACTCGACGAGCACACGCGAGCATACTCGCGACAATGTTCATGTACAACCACTCCTATGGTACCACCCTCTCCTCAACGCTGTACGTGTTCTACTCCTTCGTACAATCCATGTTTGACATCACTCTTGACAGATTCGCCCCACGCACATTTACATTCCTCAGTGCTGTCCATGACACCATTTCGAATAAGGTAAGCAGTGGCCATTGCTTATCCCTCCTGAGCCGAGTCCGTTCACATCACCCACATCACCCTCTCCCTTCGAGCCAGAACGTCCCAGAGATACACCTTTGCAATCACACACAACGCCTAAGTTCTCTGCACCTCCAATTGCGAGACGTAGTCAGAGCATGTGATGTGCATGTACGGACATGGCTTCGCTTGCTGCTCAAATCAGCTTGTTCAATGCTCCGGATCCCAACCTTGGTGCACCACTTACACTCGCTGCACGCTGTCACGGTGCGTCCACCTTTTCTCTCTTATTTTCACTCGCTAATCACTCTAAACTCGTCTCACAGGCACAGCCTCAGCCTCCACAACCTGCTCGACCTCAATTCACACACGCATGCAATTCAACTTGCAGGGACCGAGCGACGACCAAAGCGTGGTGATGAAGACTACATCAAACGGCCCGAGAACACATCCTTCTTCTTCCGTTGCGGATGCTGTTGGGAAAAGAACAAGGCAGAGGCAGCTCATCATACACTACAAGTACTGTGAGTGTCTCTTCATCAGTATCTACTGCCGATTCTGACGACTACAGCGAATTTGACTCGCTCTCCGCCGATAGTTCACTGTATGGCTGCCCGTTCGGATATCCGCACACGACGTGCAGTAGCGTGCGCGAAGTGGAGATGGCAGACTTTGGTGATTTTGAGATGGGTGATGCGGTGTGCTTGCAAGGACGGGTCAACCACAGATGCAGTCATAACCGTTGAGCCTCTCAATGCCCTCGCTTTCGGGTGGTCCGTCTGGATCTGGTCAAGGGATGGGCCTGGCAATCGACACCCGTAATGCACTCGTTCGCTGCTCGAGTCTGGTCCAATCCCAACCTCTACCTACTCGTATTTGCATCACAGCAGACACGGACACTCTCACTCGCTCTCTGCACAAATCTTGACACAGGCTGCACTATGTATGTGTTTCAGTTTATTTTCCTTAATTATTGTAGATAATGATGTATCGTACAAATATTTTAATATAATTGATTTTTGTTATTTTAATAATGAATGGATGTAAGGGGAAATTATTATTATTAAGAAATAATAACTATGTATAGTCTCTGTAAAACATTACAAACGTGTATTACCCTTTCAAAACTTGGTAATCCTTACAATACATTTCAAAAAAGGGAGGTCCGATATTATGCATTTTATATGTTTAAAAGGGGTATTACCCTTATGTACTTTTATTACATTCATAAACCTTACAGTACCTTATACAAAGTTATACTACTTTATCAGAAATCAAGGTCCGATAATATGTAAATTAC